AAAACAGGAATGGTTCATAGGAATGGTTTTTTTATGCTGGGTTTCAGCATAAAAAAAAAAAGGTAAAAAGTATACAAAACTATTCTGGCATGTCTTATAAAACTGTTTAATTTTTAGCATTAACCCTTTAATTGTGGTAAACACATCACTATTCTCACAGATATTGTCATTCCTTTCAAAGAATCTATTTTTTTAATCAGGATTGATATTCTATTTACATGATAAAGAACAATGGAGAACATACAGCCCAAATGCTATTTTTCAGAAACTAAATATTCTAATGATTTTAATAAAGATATCATCAATTTCTAGTCTTGACTTTGAAGAATGTGAACAGTGAGAAATAAATTCACATACCTTACTGATTACAGTTTAGACATCTAAATAAAGTGCCACAGACCAAAAATAAATAAATAAATAACTGCTTCATTTCAAAGGCACAAGTTCAATTTAGTAGATCAGCTGGACTCACTGCACTATATGGCAGGAGACAGGTTCTAAAAAGTGACCTTGGGATCCTTGCTCTACCGATGTTTCAAGGGTCCATTTCTTTATTGAAAGTATCTCTACTTTTAATAAATACCTAATTACTGCACAATTTATATCTTTGCTGATATGACTCTACTTGAAGCTTTTTTGACATTTAAGATTATAGATATTAAAATTTAAAAATTTAACAACATGCAATAAGCACAAATGGTCAAGATACACTCCTTCCCTTCTAATATTCTGCAAAAGAAGGTTAAGTAACTATTATCACACACCTTAAGTTTAGAGACATATTTTCAGAGATTTCAAATAAAAAAATTCAATAAATCTTAAATAAGTACTTTTCATATTTCAGATCATGAAAAGATATTTTAATTAATGTGTAGTATACAATATATAAACTCCACAAACTATAGGAAGATATATGCCTATATCAATTCCCTGACTCTTTTAATCAAAAATGTTTCCTCTGGTCATAAAAATCTGATTTGGAATGTTTTAAAAGTTCAAACATATTAAGCTATGCTTTGCTTTGGCACTAGCTCCCCCTCCAGACCAACCTGCTAATAATACAACTGCACTTAAAAAAATAAACAAGGAACACAAGTTTTTCCAAGGTATCAGCAAATTTCAAAATTCACCACTTTTAAAGACATTCCAATTCCTAAAAATAACTAGTTAAAATTTGTAACCAAACCTTGCAGAATGTAATCAGAATTATCGCTTTTTTCAATTCTATACATCTCAAACAGAACTGGCTTCTGGAAAAACAACTCCAAATGACACTAAAATGTAAGAACATCCTGAAATAAAAGTATATGGTGATATACTTCATGGAAATTATTTTGAACCACTATCCTAATAAACCAAAATATACTCATGTCAGCTCACTACTCAATCAAAAATATATTTTTACATGTTTCTGCAGTCTATGCAAGTTTCATTCCAGTTGTTCAGCTCTTCAAGTAGAATTCTCAATTTATAATGCAGCAAAAGGAAAATCCCTGCATCCAAACTACCTTCTATTTTCCTTCTAAATTGCACATTTCTAACTCCCTACATTCTTACATATTAAACTATAAAATCACAATTTCAAATGCTTAAATTCCCACCTTACTTTTACTATTGTATTTATACAAGTAATCAAGACTTTCTATATGAATTTTGTAGTATATTTCACAAGGCTAGGAACATACAGGGTCTTATTATTTTGGCATTAACATTTTAGGTTGTTTTTTATTTTAAAGAAGAGAGAGTACAACCTACTCCAGTATTTCAGTGTAACTTTGTCATATTTAAATAATCTCTCCAAAAATGATTTCTATATGACATACTCTTTAAAAGAATTATGCATAAAACATATAATTTAATCAACAAAATAAATATGCACTTAATGCCAGAAATAACAAGGGAAAAAAAAAACTAGTATAATGAAACCTTGCCTACAGTTTCTAAAGAGAGCCAAGCCAAAGTTCAGTCAGTTACGTGTGATGAGTCTTATTCTAAACTGATAAAAAGCACTTTTGGTGAAATTTGTTCTGTTACCTGAAAGTTTGGGATTATCTACTAGAGATTCTGGCTTTCTAGGTCCACCTTCTTAACTTGGCTTGAGTCAACTGTAAATTAATTCAAACACATCAAGTCAACACCTTTCCCTACCTTTATTCAACACCTCAATCAAAAAGTTAATACAGAGATGGAAAGCTGCTACTGCCACCACCAACATGGAGACTGTACCAGTCCCATGCCCCAACCTGAAGCTGAAGAAGCCACCCTGGTTGTATGCTCTGGTGGTGGTGTCTTATTTATTCATCACCAGAGGAATAATTTATTACATTATTGTTGAACCTCCAAGTGTTGGCTCTATGACTGATGAACATGGGCATCAGAGACCAATAGCTTTCTTGGCCTTCAGAGTAAAATGAGCACTATATTATGGAAGGACTCACATGCAGCTTCCTGGTTTAGGTTTCATAATCTTAGACCCATCCAATGCACCAAATATTCCAAAACTCAGTAGGTTTCTTCTGTTCACTGGATTCATCCCTGTCCTACTGAGTTTTTTTGCTGTTGTTTTTTTTAATGACTAGAGTATTCATGAGAATGAAATGGCCAGGCTATATGATGGGTTAGAGTGCCTTTTGACAAGAAATCTGTGGATACTGGATTTGTTCCTGTTAATGAACTTTTAAAGGCTGTACCAATTCTGTGATATGAAATATGGAAAAGGATGAAAAACATCTAGTAGAAAACATGGAAAGCATACTGAAGCTCGGGCTAGAATATGGTATCAAAGATACAAGCTTATCAGTGTTTTCTCCTGCTGACCTATACTGACATACCAATGATGTTAAGTGGCATTTCCTTCTCAGTTTTTAATTTCTTAAAAACCATATACTACATTTCTACAACTATTAAATAAATAAATACATACATACATAAATACATAAATACATAAACAAGCTAAAATATGGCAAAACGCGAAAAGCTCCCCAGGGACGAACCCTAACCACGACATTGTCATTGAACTTAAGAAATACACTGCGTCTCTGGCGTTCCGTGTAGCTTAAGATTGCAGTCCCCACGGTGAGAGAACAGGTGCTGCGACCCACAACCCACTCACTCTTGCAGGACAAATCTCCTTTAACTAATAAAGATGGAATCATTTAACCTTCCCAAGTAAGTTTGGATACTCAAAAGCCGCCAGCTCATCATTTCCAAATCAAATGGCGGGTGCAGGAGCACTCATGCCGTTAAGTGCCCAGGCAGTGGACCCTCGCTGGGAGTGGATCCTTGTACGGGTCCACTCCCTGATTTCTAGCCCGAGAACCCCTCTCGGAAAGCCCACAACGCAAAGGCATCCTCCTCCCCGCAGTCCGTGACTACTGGGACAGAGCTGCTGGAGAAAGGGCAGGTAGGTGTGCAGGAGAGAAGAGGACACCTCCTACCCCGCCCCCATCCCTTCTCCTCTCCTTGGCTTCGGCCCCTGCCCTATGCAACCACGGAAGACACAGAGGGCAGCGGCCGCGCCGCTCCACGTCCCGGCCCCCGGCGGCGGACGCCCCTCACCCTCTGCCCGCGCCCTCCCGGCCGCGCAAAGGCACCCGCCAGATCGTCCCGAGGGCTCCCTCCCCACTTTTCCCGGAGCCGCCGGATAAGCAGCAGCAGTTGCAGCAACAGGCCCGGGGATCGCCTGGGGGAAAAAGAGCAGCGACGGTCTCCAGTCATATCCCGGGAACCTGAGCGGATCCCGCGCTCGCCCAGCCCCAGACCCCGAGGCGCGCAGGGCCCGGCCCCCAAACGCCCCCTTACCCGAGGCGGGAGCAGAGGCGGTCTCCGCTGTTTCCCAGTTGCCGCCGCTACAGCCCTCAGCCGCAGCTGCCCTGCGTGTGGGAGTGGGAGGGGTGGCTGGGTGGAGGATGCTACTCTCGACTGAAGGGAGAGGAAGAAACGGAAACAGGAACCACCGCCGCCGCTGCTTAACGGAGCCTTCGGCGCCAGTGACTGAGGGAGAGCGCGAGGCGGCGCGAGCCGGGCAGTCGCTGACAGCGCGAGACCGAGCGCGAGCCGGGTCCCAGGCGCGCGACCCCGAGCAGCGCCAGCCCCATTCCGTGAGGAAAGGAAGGGGACGGGTGGACTGGGGACTCCGAAGGAGCGGCGAGGGGCGGGGGCCTGGAGCAGAGGGAACCGGGCCACTCGGGTCAGCCGGAGATAACGCGCGCACGCGCCGGAGCGCTTTGACAACGAGAGCAGGCGGGGAAACCCAGGCTAGCGCAAGCGTGCGCGCGCGAATGGGGGCGCGCGCCCCTCGGCGTTCCAGGCTTCTGGGAGAGGGCGCGCATGCGCGGGCCGCTGCCACCTACGGCGACCCTGGCGTGTGCCTGGGGTTCTCCCCGCCCCTTCCTCGCTTCCCAAGTGGAAAGAGTAGCCGCAGCATCCGCGGCCAAGCAGCGCCGCGGACCACAGCGGGACGGGGAGACTTTCAGTAGTGCAGCGTCTGCACACGTGGGCAACGGTTCCAACACGAGCGTAGGCCGCCCTCTACTGCTTGAAGGCCGGAGGCTGAGGGGGCCTCGAGTCTAGCTGGCTCCCCATTCTTAGGAGCGCCACCTCCAGGGAATGCCGTATCTCGACCACCAGGACTGACAGACCGGTGCTAGTTCAGCCGTGGCCTAAATGAGCGCGGGTACTGGAGACTGGACGCAAACTCTCTGCCACTTGTTAGGGGTAGTCGCTGCTGCCCGGCTGCAGTTTGCAACGCGAACATACTATGGCATCGCACCCACATGGGACCAGCTAAGTCCTACTTTATCTTGAGAGAGCTGTTTCCACATTCGGCAGGAGAGAAAGATGCCCCATGAGGGCCTGAGTTCGATGCCTGGCTTCTCCCCCGACCCCCGGCTGAGACACCCCTTGGCTGCAACAGCCCCTCTGAGGCGGAAGTTTATTCAGGACGGGAAAGAGAACACGGGCGGAGGGGTGTGGAGGCTTTTCCTTAGTATGCTTCCTACCCGCTCAGACTCGAGAAATTTCTGGCACCCGCGATGTAGAGCAGTGGCCCGAAGAGCTAGCTCACCATCCCAGAAGCCGAGGCGAGAACGAGGACCTGAGCGCGCAGTCCCGGCACACAAACTAGTCGCGGGCCGAGTGGGGTGCCATAATGGCCAATCAGACGCGAGCTGTGTGAGTGGAGTACGAGCCGACCAATCAGAGGGTGGGAAAAATGAGCTTCCCTTACCGAACTCTTCCCAGTGACTCCAGACCCAGATCCCAAGCCGGGGATGCCGTATTGCGGGAAGAGAAATGGTGCCCTGAAGACAGAATTATTTTCCTAGACTTGGATATTTTTAAGTAAACGCCTCGGGTATTTATCCTTGAACAAATAGCGGTGGCCTTTAGGCCTTTTCCTGTGAAAAGGATCACAGGAAAAAGGTTTGAGAGGCAGTGGCCTGACGACTCAAAATCTGCCTAGTAACGTACATAAATTTACAGCATTTACTGAAACAGTTTTTAAAGGCCAGGAACTGTATTACAGAAACAAATAAGATACTGCTGATTCAAAAGAAAAAAGTTCCCTATCCCTCAAGAAGCTCGGCTTCTGAGAGGTTTGTGAGCCCTGTGACTCCGGTATTTATGGGCAGCCCTTTAAAGTTCTCCATGAAGTAGTTTAGTTATTTTTGTTATTATTACCCTGTAAGGAGAGAAAATTAAGAAAAAAAGTGGAGTGACTTATCTAAGGTCAAAAAATACACTGGCAGAGCCAGAATTATGTTCCAGCTTGGCTTACTTTGACAATCATGATTGCTGTCCTCCACTGCACTAAGCTTATCAAGAGAACAGAATTGTACTATAAGGTCTGCAGCCCTTGGTTGTTGGAAACAAACAGAAATTTTAGGCTTATGCCATAGTAAGATGGATTAAAGGCCAAAGTCTTATCCGTCATACTCTGGATAATTTTTAGAAATCAGAAGTGAGGTAGATACTTGCTTTTTACTTTAAACAGCATTTTAAAAAGTATTTTAGGAAACATGTTTAAAGCTTACCTTGTAGAATACCTCAAGGTCTCCAAGTTCAGAGCTTTACATTTACCTCAAAACAACAGTTTATCTGGTCTTTATTTTTTCCTTTCCAGAACCCTAGGGATTAATATAGTTGTCTTCTCTGTCTCCTGCCCCCCCAAAAAAAAAATCTAACCAAGGAATGTTTATCCAAGATTTAGTGCATTTTTATAGCACAGTATAATATAAATTAAAATACCAAATAACTGGTGTCTCTAGCAGAAACTAGTTCTTCAGTGATTCCAGTTGTGCTCTGCTGTGTCAATGTGCTTTTCAGCCTGTGACAGAACACTTATCAAAGCCCTTTCCAGGACATGCCTAGGATTAGCTGCCACCTCAGAACTGGAAGTATCAAATAACTGACTTTTGAGAACAAATCTTTACACGTTAAGTTCCAGGCCAATCATGTATTTACAGAAAAGTCACAGCAATCCCAACATTTAAAAAACACAAACTTTTTACTCTCTCTAGAGAGGAATATTACTAAAATATGCTTTTCTCTTGATAGGTTACGGTAAATTTCTGAAAGTGTCTCCAAAAGGTTCTGCCCCTCACTGGCCACCAGAACACACCTCTGTCAAAGGGTGTTTTCTCCACAAGCTCCAGCCTCCCTCTCTGCTGCTGGGCCCTCTCACTCTCTATTCTCACCCCAGTTTCCTGCCTGTGCCTCACATCACTCCTAGTTTCTGATATTTGCTTAAGAAAGTAGAAGTGTTCCTTGGACTTCCTCCACCCCTCCCTCACCAGCTGGGCTTTAGGCCTATCTTTGCTTATGCAAAAATTTAAAGTTCTGCTCAGCAAAACATTATACAGAACATTCTTTATGACATTATACTGAGAACTAAGACAAGCTTCTAAGTACGGTCAAACCTCAGTTCTCGAACATCTTGGTTCTCAAACAATTTGGTTCTCAGCCAAGTAGTTCACAGAAAAAAAAATGTCTTGATTATCTAACAGAACTTCAGGTCTCGCTTCTCTACCCGACAACCCTGTCATGCTGATAACCCATATGATCAGTCATGCATCTTTCAGAGAACAAAGGAGATTGGTTTTTGAACAAATCACTTCTGAAACAGTTTTCCAGAACAAATTAAGTTTGACAGCCGAGGTTCCACTGTACATCATATTCTTTTACACAGCCTGGGTCAAATGCCTAGTCATCAACCAGAGCTGTGGGGTTCTTGCAGGTGGGACAAGAAGGAGTCAACTGTTACACAATGGAAAATACCAAAATGAAGGTTAAGTGAGCACCTGAGTAATAATTTTATTGAGAGATTAGCTAGATCAAAGTTAATGAACTTTAATACTATCACATTTCCAAAGTTGTGAACATTCTTATAGGAACTAGTTTGAAATTTACTACCATTTTATTAATGACTATAATAAAGTAATTGCTAAGGTGTAATATTTCTGAGTGCCAGCCCCCATAATAAACTCTTTACCCCCATCATGTAATTCTCTAATCAACCCTTCATGGTAGACCCTGTTACTTCAGGGGTGGAGATCTATGGGGTCACAAGGAAGGGTTGAGGAGGCTCTTAGGAGGTTCAGCAGCAGCTACTCACCAAATAGGTTTAGAAATTTTCTCAACTCTACTAAGGTAGACCCACAGGATATCAGTCCTGGAAACATTGTTAGTAATTTTTAATTGTTTTGTTTTCTAATTGTTGCTGTAGCTACTTAGAGGATTCCATTTTGCAGTAGATCATCCAAAAGACAACTCTGTTATTGCTACATACAAGAAGGTGTGACTTTGAAATAATCAGTTTACCCATTTGGGCCTTAATTTTCTCATCTGTAAAATAAAGGGATTGGACTAGATAAATTTTAGTTGATTGCCAGTTCTGAACTATAAATCTAACCAGCTTGACAGTAACTACAAAAATGAAATATAGAAAAACAGCCTATATATTTTCAAATTCAATAAATGTTTTAAGTCACTTTTGAGCCAACTCCTTAAATAGAAACTGTCTTTCTACACCCACTCATTAAAGAGCTAGAGCCAATCTTTTCAATCAGAAGAGTAAATGAAATGATTGATTCAGAGGCTGATGAAACTACCCAAACTACCCCTCCCTGTGAATTGCCTCCATGGCTGAAATTTCTTTTTTCTCTTTTGGGATAAGGTATCATATAGTTCACACTATTGATTTCTTATTCAACATTCCAGTTCTATACTTTCCTTATGAATAGAGCTGCTTGTTTTGTTTTTGTTTGTTTTTTAGGTAACCATTGAACCTCCAGCTACAAAAGGGCAACTCAATTAGCCTGAGTCAATCAGTAAATGAATTCCCTGGTATGACAGAGACTTGTAATGCTTATCCTGTCTTTCCAGGCATATACAGAGATTATATTTTCACAGGTACATCCCTGCCACCGCCCCCTCCCTTGTAGTTGGTTGGGCCATGTGACTAGTTATAGTCACTAGTCTATAGTGGGTTGTGCTTTGAAGTAATATGTGTCACTTCCAGGTAAAACATTTAATTGCAAATGTAAGTCTTTACATTTTTTACTCTGCCAAAGCCTAAAAACTAGTATTGTTGAAGTTTTGTCAGCCCAAGTCCCCAAGAAAGGACAATGTAATAGAGCCTACTTTCACCCTCATCAAGTCAGGATGGATAGTCTGAGTAAAAAATATCCTTATTGTTAAAGCCACTAATATTTAGAGGGTTTTTTTTTATTATTGCAGTATGACCTGGAATCTAAGTTATGTTAGGTTCTACACTATTCTAATTAAAACACCTGAAAACTGTTATAGTCCTGGAGTAAACTGGCCCAAGTAAACTAAAGGGGAAGATTTTTAGTCCATACTTGGGCGAGGATTCTCTTTCCTACCAGGTATGAACAAGTCAGATTGCCACTGGCAGCAACCTAACAACCACAAGAGGAACTAATCTTAGAATAAAGTCAACACACTAAGGATGGAAAACAGACAGAAAAACACTTGATGATATGATTGAGCTGATGGCTATATCGCTCCTGAAAGCTAATCCTCTCTAGACTTCTAATTCTGCAAAATAATAATTATGTCTATTGTTTCTCTATAACACATAAGCAGAAATATATCTTTATCTTTATATGTCTTTAATTTCATCAGAGGTCTTAACATAGATCTAGCTCAAAAAGTACTGAAAAATATTAGATGATTTAAAATTTTTTAAATATAATAACTCACACTCTTGCTTTCAGAAATAAAATATCACCTGCAGTAACAAAGGGAAAAAGTAATTTGATTCAACCTCATCTTTTTACAGATGAAGAAATTAAGACCCAGACAGTGTAAAATCTATCAAGTTCATATAGCTTTGCTATAGCAGAACTGAGGAAAAAAAATGAAAACTAATAATTGCTTCATCAAAAATGATGATAATTTTCCACTCCAGATAGAGAAGTAATGAGACAGTATATTACCCTGGTAGTTACAAACTTTGAACTTAAGACAAATTTAGTTTACTTACTAGCTATATGATCTTGGACAAGTTACTTGACCTCTCTGATCTCTTGGTTTTCCATCTATAAAGGAGGACAATAGTCTCCACCTTAGAGAGTTCTCAGGAATAAGTGACTAAACATATAAAAATCTCTTAGCCCTGACCCATGTGGCTTGGTTGGGTGTTGCTAGTTTGATTTCCAGTCAGGGTACACATACCTAGGTTGCAGGTTCTGTCCCTGGTCAGGGGCAGGTACAAGAGAGAACCAATTGATGTTTCTTTCTCATAATCTGTTTCTCTCCCTTTCTTTCTCCTTCACTTCCCCTCTCTCAAAAACTAAATAAAATCTTTTTACAATTTTTTTCAAAAACATTCTCCTTTATCATTTATATAATTCAGGCCACTGACCTGCATTTTTCCATCACATATAATTATAGGATAGCCTACACAACTGTATAGCCATCATTCACCTTTCTTATGGGAACTTCTCCACCCATTTCCACACTTTTATTACATTATGGCAGCAAAGAAGCCATGTTACTACTAATTGTCCCTTGGCCACAGCTAATTGGTCAGGAGCTGGATGGACACCTCACACAAGATGGGCCAGTGTAGTCATTCCTCCAAGATTTTTAGACTTTGGAAAAGAGGTCATAAAGTCACTGGACAAAGGGAAGCAGAGAGGGTGAAGAACATGTCTTTATTATACTGGACTTCTCAGTTCTAGGTTTTCTTGACCATTGACAAATCTTTGCCTTTCCTTCTTCCCCTTAGGTGTGCTTCTTCCAAGAGTGTCTCCCATATCCTTCCAATATATTCTCCATTTTGCATAAGCTAATTCCAGATGGTTTATTTGAGATGCAATTAATAAAATGATATGCTATATTATTATAAAGTAAAAAATAAGAAGAGGGAAAATTCTTATTCATGTTTTATTAACTAGAGCAATACCTCTAAGAATATGATCATCAAGTTTATAAAAATAAATCAAGAAACCTTTATCAAACACCAACTATATCTAAAGCATCTGTGACAGAGACTTGAAATTACCTCCCTATATCTATTCACTTATTCTTCCATAATAACCAAACCTTAATTTTTAGATTGTCCCATTACCACTTAACTAAAATCCATTACTTTCCAATATCCTTGTATGGGTATAGCCACATGACAAAATTCTGGCTGTTGATATCTAAGTAGAAATGTTGTGTAGTACTTCTTGTTTATTAAATCATAAAAAGGAAGAAGACACACTCTTCTTATCATTTCTCTCCAACCTGTTACCCGGATGTGATGTGATGACTGGAGCCCCTTCAGCCTTTTCAAACCGCTTATAGCTTTATAAAACCCCTAAGCTGAAGCAAGGCTTTGTGGACACTATTGTTGTTACCTGATCTAAATCCAAAGTCAAAAATAACATGAAAACTGAACCTCAGGAAGGAAAAGAAATAGGTGAGTCACAAGGTTTCAGGAGCAAAGGCTAAATGTCATTTTAGTCTGTGGCACATGCCACAACACAACAGTTGGTATTTAAAACAAGGAACAAGGTCCTAAAAACAACTGCTTATGAATTGTGTTGGCACAATTTACAAGTAGATTTGTAAACTCACACAGAGAGGATCAAGTGGAGCTAACATATTTACTTCAAGACTGATCATTTTGTTTAAAATGCATTCCTGGTCTTAAGGGCTCTGGCTACGAAGTCCATCTAACTTACCTGAGCTCTTTAAGGTTCAAGGAACAAAGTAACTCAGGTTACTTCAAGGAAAAGACGACTTTGAACTGTTTTCAGTTCAAAACACATGGACTGAAACTTACCTAGGGCTGAACTGCCATCAGATACTGAGGCAACAGGAGACGTGCTCCTCCTTGTCTCCATCTCTGTTACATTCCTCCACGTCATTTTCTGCTCTTCTCTCAGCACCAGCAGACTTCCATTATTTATTCCACCTTTAAGTTTTTACTTGCTCATAATTTTTGTTTCCTTATAATTTCATCTTTTTCATGGCGTGACAGAATCTTGACTATCTAATTCTCAGTTTCTTTGGTTCATATTCTCCAGAGAGGGAAATCTTATTGGGTCTTAATATCTGTCTCTACTAAGTCATATCATAGGTCTTCTGGCCTTCAGTCAGGTATTAAATCTGGCCCAGACTACTGTGGCAAGCTGGTCGTGGCTGCCCCTTTAGCAGTGGCTATGGGTATAAGCATAAAAGACTCTTTAGTAGAGGTAGGAGGGGGCAGACACAAGAATTGACATCTCTGATAACTTGCTATACTCCTTTCCCTTGCTTCCCCTCCAATTTTCTTTTTTTTTTTAAGATTTTATTTACTTACTTTTTAGAGAGGGGAGGAGGGAGAAAGAGGGAGAGAAACATCAGTATGTGAGAGATACATTGATTGCCTTTCATAGTTGCCTTTCACATGCCCCCAACTGGTGAACCTGGGCTGCAACCCAGGTATGTGCCCTGACTGGGAACTGAACCTGCTACCTTTTGGTTTGCAGGCTGGTGCTCAATCCACTAAGCCACACCAGCCAGGGCTCCACTTCAATTTTCTACAATTCTTCCAATCCCTGTAATAATCACATAAAGATTTTACCACTCTTCTATTCTCAGTACTTAGCAATTCAGCTCAATCTCGGCCTTCATATTGGCCTTTGCAAATTCTTCAATGCACTGTTTCCAGTAAATGTTGGTCCTGGTTTTATTTGTGAAGTCAGGTGGGCTGTGTTGAAGTTTCTCTCCACATCGAACATCTAGCTTCTCACCAGTTTAATAGCTCAGCCCCACTTACATTGGTTTGGTCACAAGGTGAACTAGGGAAAAATCATGAGTTACATAAACACAATAATAACTACTCCTTTTAAAATCAGCAAAAAAAAGTGAAAGCCCTATGATAATGGGACAAAACTGTCTTCACATAAGACAAGCATTTTAAAAGCTAATCTCTAGACAAATATTATTAAAACTAATGCTATGATATATTGAAACAAAGAGTTATGAATGTCTAATATATAAGTAGTGGAAATAGAAGTCATATAACTCTGAATTGACAAAAGGGAGGCTGGGATGTATAGAGGAGCACAGGGATGTTTGCTGAGCTCTAATGGCTGTGTTGCACACAGTAGATGACCTACACAACCACGTGGCATGACTGTGGATGCAATAATTTAAACAAGAAGTACTGGGAGAAGAAATGGATGGCAGGAGGCAAATGTCAGATCGTGAAGGATGCACTGATTAGGTGAAAAAGTGACTAAAGATAGATGAGATTTGGAGTTTGGGTAACTAGTTATTTGATACCATTAATATAATTCATGGTTCAGTATAATTGCATTTAGAATCCAGGTCTTCTTATCCCAAAACTGATATTCTGTTCATTCTGTCAGTCTCAATGTTTCATTTAGAAAAAAAACTAAATCCTAACAAAGAATCATTGAATCAGATGGATTCACCATCATATCCCCAGTGTCTAGAATAGTGCGTGGTCTATGGCAGATGCTCAATGAAGTTATTGAATGAATGGATAAGTAAATGAATGAATGAAGAAAGTGGACTTTTTTTTCAACAGAAAGGATTTGACTAAATAAAAGGAGTTTTGTCTCTACATGTTGCAAGATACTGCAAATGGATTACAGAAAAGTTCTAATACCTTCTAATAGCTATTTCTAAATTTTATTTATTGATTTTAGAGAGAGAGGAAAGGAGGGAGAAAGAGATGGGGAGATAGAGGGAAAAAGAAACATCAGTTTGATGTTCTACTTATTTATGCATTCATTGGTTGCTTCTTGTATTGCTCCGATCAAAGATTGAACCCCCAATCTTGGCTTATCAGACAACACTCTAACCAACTGAGCTACCCAGCCAGGGCTAAGAGCTATTTTTAAAGTATCATAGGAAATCTTATATAACTTATGTCCACATTGCTGAATAATAGAAGAAACCCAATTAACTTTTTATTCCTCATATAGGAATATTCTTCATTTTAAAAATAAGAGCCTAATAAAATAATCTGCGCAGCTGTTTAACTTTTAATAATCTATTTGCCTCTAAGACAAAATACTTGATTAGTTTTCCTCCACAACTTAGAATGAATGCATTTACCAGCTCCTCCCAGATATATGACTGCAGGAAACAAATTCTTCTCACCAAATGGAGTGAAACTAAATCTAGTACTTAAAATCTGAACTTTCCTGGAAAGTCTAAGACACATGGATACCATACTTATAGAGATATTTATTTAAACTCTGGCTTATAGTTATGATTCCTCATGATCTTATACTTAAAGTATCCTCGGCTACATATCACAACTGATGTTCACGAGGATGGCAAAATTCTGATTGGTCAGGGGTCTATTTTAATTATCTGAGACCATGTAATAGTGTTTTGAATACTCAAAGACAATCTTTGTCCTCTGTGAGCTTAGCTTGGTAACAAGGAGGCTAAATGAAGCTCTGATACAGTTTCACACAGATAATTTTGGTTTTGTGATAGGAAAGTTTTTATCCTTCTTTCACTGTCCTCCAATGACCACTTCCCATTTTGCTCACCAAAGGACCTAGGATAAATTTGACATTCATCACATCTAGAACTCCAGTATCACAGGCAGATGAAGTAAGACAAATTTTTACAGTTAAAAACTAACTTAGATGTATATTTTTTAAAATTATTTTAGGCTTATGTCAGTAATGCTCTAACAGAGTAGCATGAACCATTCAATGCCTTAAAGTCCCTCCTGTATTTATGACTTGTAATTTTGTACATATACAATTCTAAAAACACCAAACTGCTAGATATAGATGTTCATTAAATTGTTTTGTACAACAGACATTACTTTCTATGGTCAAAATGAAAATTGATTAGAGTATATCAGATTTCCTCTGTTACACCTATAATCCTTTCCAACTGCTAGAATCATCTTCTAATGCCTTCTAGACTCAGAGCAGCACAAGTTTCTATCCTCGTTTAGATTCTCCAGCCTCCTGGGCAGTCAGATAGAGCCATGTTCTAACTATGGGAGGTGGACAGAAGTGATGTAAATCACTCCCAAGTCTGATCAAAAGTGCCTCTGTGAGAACCTCCAGCTCTTTCTTCCCCTGCTTAGTGATCTCAGTGGCTAAATATTCTAAGTGGTCTTACTGTGAGATAAAGATAGGCACCCTGGATTCCTGAACATCCACTAGGAGGAGAGCCACCCTACAGATATTGGGCTGTGACGTGTACAAGGAATAAACCTTTTATTGCATTAATCCACTGGCATTTTAACCAACTACTACACTAACTAAGAGGATAATGGAGGGAAAAAAATCTAGCCTCTCATGTAGTTACCAAACCAGGTGCCTTGGCACAATCTTTTGTCAAAATGGGTGCCCTCATCTGCATTCCCTGAGAGGAGGTACCTTCAGTAATTCACAATACAGATGCTACATGGACTGGCTGTAGCCCTATATCTCCTCTCAATTGATTAATCTGTCTTCACTTTCTTCCCTTCACAATCACTATATAAAGAGCTGCCAGATTAATATTACTAAGGCACAACTCTGATCACATCATTTTCTGCTCAGAAACCCTCAGAGAGACCCCACTACTTCATGGATTAACCCCAAGATGCTTAGCAGTCTCCAAGACCCTCCACAATTCATTGAACAAATCCTCCTATGCATCCCAATCACTACTTTTGTCTTCTCACACCCATGTTCTCCAGGCCTGGAAGCTAGCATGGCATGAAGCCAGGAACTCCCTCAGCCAGATGCCACATAGCAGGTGCACTCCATCTCATATCCAGCATTCATTGACCTAGCTTATGGAACCTCCACCTTTACTTACTCCAGTAATTTCCATAGTATTGAATTTCTTCAAGTCTGCCAGCCTTCTGGAGTCACCTTTACCTCTAACATATAAATTAAAAGGCTCAACTTTCATCCTATATATTTTAAGGGCACTTCCATCTGGTTTATTTAGGGGGAATAAGGAGGTTTAGCTCCCAGTTGTTCTTGACTTAATTCACTTAATAGTCTGTTCCTCTACTCTGTCTCTGCAGCACAGCAAGAATTCACCTATGTTCCTACCCCTGGATGGATCCTACTTCTGTGGAGGGTGTCAGTAACAACTCATCTTGCCATGAGGAAACCAAGAGGTGAGGGAAAGACAACACATAATGCATCTACTCCTGCTGTGTAGCGACTCAGATTGGGAGGTAAAATATGGAATGTCCAAATAAATTTGACTTTCAAATAAACAGTAAATCATTTGTAGTGTAAGCGTGTCCCAAATATTGCATAGCACACTATTATGCCAAAAAATGGTTTGTCTGAAAGTCAAATTTAACTGGGCATCCTGCATTTTTACTTGCTACATCAGGCACCACTAGTTGTAGCCTCCTTTTGTTAAATCCTTGACCTTTGGCTCAGATTGGGGGTAAAAGCAGAACTCTTCCTGCCAATTTAATCCACTAAAATCATTGCTTTTAAGTAACATTTCCCGCCTCAACAGCAATGTTTTCCTTCCTATTGCTCATGTGTTATAGTAATTTTTACACAATAATATCTCTCATTTGACAAAAATAAGTTTCTTGAAGTCAGGAATCTTAATCTTCATATTCTTTTACTGGCTGGCTGGATCTTAGAGGCATCTTTCTGGTATTATCTACTTGCTACATTGGTATTTCAAGAATTCAAAATGAGCAACAGAGCCAGAAATTTTAAAGCAGATAACAGAATTAGAAGAAAGTGCCTTGGGCATATATAATTGCAAATCCTAGCAGTTTTTCTGACTTGCATAATGAGCCATGGATTTTTCATCTTGGACTTGCACATATGTTTCCAAATATCTCCCCATGTTTTCCAGGAAGTACTTGGCTGCCTTTTACGTGAGGGGCATCAGACACTCATAGGAACACAGATTATGGCTAAAAGTCATTCTTTTAAGATAGCTTGCCATAGTTGTAACTTTCTCCCTAAAACATAAAAGGTAGTGTCTCCACTTGGTGTGTTTTATTTCACTCTCTTTCAAACACATTCACACATTTCCTGTAGCATTGGAAAGTAACATACTGGCCACAAGTTAAAATCTTGTGAATCACATGGCCTTGCTATCTAGCTCCTGCACCCTTTACTTTCTTGAAAGCTTCTCTGGCAGCCAGAAGGACAAATGGTTAAAGGTTAATTAAATGCCATAAAATGTATATAAAATCATTAGAAACAAATAGCCTTGTTCTTTCTCTCAAGCACCCATATTCAAGCGAGCACCATCCTCCTGATGCCAGCCACTTAGATTTTTAGCATGATGATTCTTTTCACAAGGAAAACATAGCCACAGAGGTACATAGCTCTGTACTTTCCTGGAGAGATAGTAGAAAGAGTGGGTGTGGTCTGCCTCCCTTAAACCTATAATGTGGAGATGGAGACATTTTCTGCTTTATTGAAATCTAACCCTTTAAGACAACTTCAGTTACTTCACTGAAAAAAAAAAGTATATATACATATTTATATCTCTATATACATATATATCAATGGCAGCATTTAAAAAACTAACATATGCACATGGTTTTAAAAATTCAAAGGGAATATAAAAGGACACAAAGGGAAAAGTCTCTCTTCCACACTGTCCCCTAGTCTTCCTCCCCTGAGGCACCAGTGTCACCAGTTTGTCTATCTTTCTAGATGTATTCTCTGAATATACAAGCATATATGTATACATTGCCTTGAATCAGATTTTATTGACATATAATATATGTAAGATATAATATGCTATTATGCACATTAAATCTATTAAAATCTTTTTATTGTAAAATATATAAAAATATTAAAACTATATAAAAGTATAAAACTATAGTGACCTTATTTTCTTCATTTAACACTATATCTTTGAAAGCATTCCATATTAGCACATACCACTCTGCTTCAGTTTCGTTGACCGATATATAACATTCCATTATATCACTGTACCACTAACCAATGACCCCCCCACAAAAAGGTTTTTTTCAACTTTTGCTACAGTGGGAGCTTGTAAATTACTTTTATCTGTTAGGAAAATGGTTTCAAGTACCACTGAGATATTCAACCAATATTTACTAAACACTTAATCATGTCCAATGCACAATGCCTAGGCCCTGTAAACAATAAAGAAACTAAGAATATTCCTCTCTTAAAATTGTTTGGTCACTTTACATGTGTGTGCTATGGGATTTGTGTTGTCCTTCCCAAATTCATAACTAAAGACTCCTTCATCTATTAAAACACAAATCTTCTCTTCTAAATTTACTTTACTATGGCAAAATGGGAGTTCCATAGAGTTCCATAGTTCTGAATCTTTGAAGTATCACTTTGAAGACTATATATCAATTATCTCTGCACTTAATTATACAATGACAAAGTTTTAGAGCCAGAAAAGAAACTAATGATCATATAGGCCAACTTCTTCATTTTATAGACAAAGAATGTACAGCTAAGAAGAGGATAAATGACTGGACCATGGTCATACTTGATCTTATTTTTCTGATATAAAATTGGTTCAGCATACCTCCCCATGTCCCACTGAAAAATCAAAACTGTGATTTTCACTTGTGGTCATGATAGAATGACAGGGACCTAATTTACCCTTTACCTTAAACAAATTAAAAAACAGACAAAATGTATAAACAACTATTTTCAGTTATGGGATAAAATGCAGCACAAAACAGTGACCTCTGAAAGAATAAAAGCAAATGAAGTGACCCCATAATCTCCCCAGTTTACTTCCTGGAGAGATTCCAGGCTATAGCTCAGGCAAGAGAACCCCAACAAAGCCTGGCAGTTTCCTGAGTTGAAGAGATAGAGTTAAGAATTCAGATTGGCTAAGGCAGCTAGAATTTGTGGGGTAGATTACCAGAAAGGAGAAAGCTGGAGAGAGGGAGAAGGAAAGGGGAAGGGAGAGCAGAGGGAGAGAGATAAGAAGATCATTTTCCGGAGATCTGCAGGGGCTGAGGACTGATCAGCACACATGTTTAAGGAAATTACCTGCACCCAGGGAGAGAAACACCTGCAAGGAGCAATTACTGGCATTCACACAGGGCTGGAAATAGTTCATATTCCCAACAGCCCGAATGGAAAAACTTTCTAACACATTGGGCATCTAGTTGAGTACTCAGAAAGGCATTGCCTCATAATCAGGCCAAATTAGCCCTAGAGGCTGCTCTACTCCAGCTTATTCCAGTTTAAATGCAAGCTTCAAAAGGATCAAAACTGTTTCCAACTACCTTAACTGTGTCCCAGAACGTAACTCAAAAATATTTCATGGAAACCATTCCCCCACCACTAAAACAAACAACAACACAAAAAAATTAAGCATTCAGCAATGTGAAATTCACAATGCCTGGAATGCATTTTTTTTTACTGGTACTTTTTTTAGCCACGCATGCAAATTGAAGCAGGAAAATACAACCCAACTCATAATGAGAAAAAACAAATCAATCAATAAACAGATCCAGATATGACATAGGTGACAAAATTAATAGACAAAGACATTAAAACAGCTATTATAACTAAGCTCCATATGCTTAAGAAAATAGAGGAAGGAGTGAGCATGTTCAGGAGAAAAAAGATATAAAAAAAATTAAGTTGAAGTTCTTAAAATAAAAAATACAATATTTGAGATGAAAACTCAGAGCTGCTCTGGGAATTAGAATTGTTGCCATTATTTCTATTATTATCAATACCACAAATGTAAAATAATATTTTCATTGTGTCTAAAAATACTCCTTTACATAAAAATCTCAAAGCCACATACCAATATGCCTTAAAAACATCAATGTAGAATAGCCTCTGCATAGTAAAAATATGTTAGCTGCCCCTGCTATTGGTGTTTATAAAGAATAGAAGAAGCACACAGCCTTTACTATATGCAAAATATGTTAAGCCAAACATAACTTCTATTCAGAAGAATTTAAAGTCCAATGAAGATGATAAATTAGGTTCTATGACTTCACTTTGAAGCTTGTTGCATGCATAAATTAGAGGAAAAACTATATACACAACTTAGAACATGGACTAAAGCTAGAGATTTTTGGACCTTTGCCTGGATTAATGACAGTATTCCCAAAAATTTGTTGATGAGCAGCAGTTTGAGGCATCTAACCTAATAAAAGTAAGTCAGAAGGAGAAAACTCATGCAAGAAGCCAAAGTAGGACCCGAAAAGGAACTCTTATGCAAAGTAGGAATGTAAAAAATGTGAGAACTATGGTTTGCAAGTATATATGAATCTCCCTGGCAGAGACTTGAAAGAGGTAACATGAAAATGCAATTAAATTCAACCAACAGTTATTGAGTGGCTGTTACCTACAAGACACTGTACCAAATGATGTACTATCCCTTTCCTCCAGCAGCACAAAATACAATGCAGGAGATGGATGCAGATACACAAATAATTGTATCATAAGTCAGACTGATACCTGCAATAATGTAGACATAACAACAGCTAAGGGAGCATAGAGGAGTGAAATAATAACCGGATCCTGGGATAGGAAAATGAGGGAAGACTTCATATAAAAGGTGACATTTGAACTGTGTCCTAAAAGACACAAGGGATTATACTATATATAAATGGTGATTTTGTGGTTATTCACCATTTAATATTCCCCTTCTTATTCTACAATTCATTCTCTGTCTTTCTCTACTCTGCTTTGTAACCCACCTCATTTGACCATCTTTGGTGGTTGGCTGGCTTCTAGTGGAGTTTGGTCCATCAACGACACTTGCTGGAGATTAGAGGGCAGGAGGAGAGAGAGTTTAGGATGTTTATTCACTGTCCCCTCTCTGCTTCAGCACTGTGTCTGCAGCCCTCCTACCTAAAGCTGCTACTGATGGCCCTACTCCCCCCATGGGCCCAGTTGTCAATGAGGTGTGGTACACTATTTCATGCCCTAGGCCCCTCAAGCCTAGTAACAGTATGAGCTTCTTACTCTGCTAATCTCTCTTGTCTCAATCACTCTTGTGGCTTCCCTTTACCCTGACTGTGTTGTATCTCTGTAAATCATCTCTTCATTTGAACCATCTGAGTTGAACCCAGTTCTAGACAGAGAGATCAGTATAAGTAAAACCAAGAAGGAATACAGATTCACACCAAAATTATGGGGAACATCATGGAGTAAAAATTGGAGC